GTCGAACCATTTAGCACGTCTCGTATGACTATATACAAACACCTTGATGCGATGCGATGTTTTGTGCACCTCTGTGATCTAATGAGCTACACTAGATGGTTTTTGTCAAACCAAAAGATGCAATAAGGCCTGAAAAGTTACACAAGTCACTGATTTTGAATGGCAGCTGCAACCACTCTTGACGACGAGACTGCACCTTGACGTGATGTGATGGCTTGTGCACCTCCCTGACTTAACGAGCTACACAGGATGACTTTTATCAAGCCGAAGATCTAATCATGTCCGCAAGGTCGAAGGGTAGACGTCGAACGAAGTCCAGTATTTCGGTCCTCCAGGTTGGGGGTTCCAATAGAAGTTGCGTTTCAATCGGTAAAAATTAGGAGAGGAGTAATTGATCCAAATAAATAGGCCTCCACTTCGCTTGGCCCGCTGTCTTGCGGACAGGCTCTTGTCAGAACTAAAGGCTTTGGCTGAGAACCCTAATCGTTCTCCTGCTTAGTGGCTAGACACCCTATCAGTCCCCGTCCATCAAGCCTCAATGCATATGCATTGCGAGTTTGATAACGATCAGTGAAGTTCTCTTCTCTGCATTTCGCTGTACGATGATGATGATGGCCACTCTTCAGAATTACACGTGCTTGACCATAGCTTGTCTGCAAATAGCTCCACACTAAGATGCGACGAAGGTGTTGTGACGAAATTCGTATCGGAAGTACAAGTATAAAAGTAACTTGATATGATACGTATATCCCAAGAAGGAAAAGAACCGCGAATTAGGTCATGGGTTTCCAGGGTAACTTGTTAGATCATTCACGTAGTATATGCTTCAGAAGTAATCTCCTTAAATTTGGTTTGGACATTTGGATGTCGCGCTTTTGAGAAGTATTTGCTGTGACGTGCGGTTGTTTAAAACAGCGATTGTGTAAATGAGAGTGGGCACTTAGTTTGTGGTTCCCAAGAGAAGCTGCTGTGCACCACCATCTTATAAACTGTTTCTTCAATTGAGAACAGACACGCTCTACTTATCTGACTGCTGTATGACTGAATAACAGTAGTGGTAGTTATCGTTTTTTTTACTTGTAGTTCCGCGTGTGTAAGTGATCCCGCGCATTATCTACATCACTGGGCTTCGTATGGGTTCATTTCAGTTTACAGATAACTGTTTTCGGTGATTCATTTACTTCCCCCTCCACTTCGATTCAGTAGGCTTTTCTTCTGAAGGTCAGTGTATGTACAGTGTCACTTACCTTACAGGCTGACTCCATTCGACCGAAATGGTTCATCTTATCATTCAGCTTCAGGGACCACATTGATTTCGCATGAAACCCGCCCATATTGTGTTTGGGTAAATTTTGTTTGTAAAACGGACACCATATTCTTTGAAGCGGCTCACGCTGTTTTGTGACCATATGTGTCTTGTTTAATCCCAATTCAACCCGGCCGGATTTTTTTAAATTAACAAAACCATTATTTCTCTGTTGCGATATTCTTCCCATTTTAGTATTTTGGCTGTTTTTATTACTGTCTGAACGCACGGTGTTATGTAATCTCAATTGTGGCGGTTTATGGACATGGATGCCACTCCCTGCAAAAGTTCATCTTCGGATGGTGACTCAAACCAAACTCGCTCTAATTTTAACCGTGCACAGCCAACTGAAAAGTAAGGTCAATCGAATTCGTCGATCACAGTGGAATGTGTAGTTCGTATTTTCTGCGATGTCGTTCTTACAGCCAGATAAAAGTGCTTCTACTTCAGTTCCGTAGCCCATTATAAATACTGGCTTACTGTGCAGCAAGCGTGGTTGAGTTTAAACACGGTTCCGAACAATCTGCGGTCGACAGGCTCTCAACGTTTGTCTCGTCTCGGTCAGGATGTGGTAAACAGATCCACTGCTACCCAATTCAAAATCGCATTTGTCTTATGTAGCACATCTTTCTAGCTTGCATGGATTACGTCGTTCATCTGTATAGACACAAAACACTCGAATGGCCATGGAGATATTTTTTCCCAACCAATGTTTTCCCGTAGATATACAGGAATGTATAAAAATATATAGTCTCCTACCATGGTTGCCAAATCCAGCGGTGTATTGAGGATAATAAACAGGATAACTTCAGACCGCAGCTTTCAGTCAGTAGTTTTTTCGCCGTCTATCTGAGATTTTTCTTCATCTCCTTTTTCTCTCTCTGTCTCTGTCACAGTTCTACATTGTCGATTCGTTGCTACTTTTTACTTTTTTGCA